TGTATAGATGATATACCATTTACATTTCTTTTAATAGAAACTTGACTCAATAAGATCAAATAAATATGTGTATTAATGAAAAACGTTCTAAATTTCTAGGGAGCATCGAGTGGATGACATGGGACGGCAGTACAAAAGTATCAATTCTGATGGAGAAGGTACCAGTGTTTCCTTTAAAACTTAGTCTGTGATTAGAATGTTGAAGTACTCTCTTATTACATAGAAGCATTTAGAAGTATTCTAAAGTCTGAGGCACTGGGAAGATGATGTGGAAAATAGGCTACATCTCTCCCTAGCTGGTCCAGAAATGGCTTCATTTGTCATGTTGTGCCCATAGTGCTATCTGGTAGCAGAGAAGGAAAAAAAAATTGTATGGATCCTTCCATATTTTCACCCTGAGAATTCTGCTGTGTAATTTTGAGCTTTGAAGAGATTGTTTTGGTTTCCATTGTTCAGATATTTCGAGAAGTTTGCTTATTTTGCTGTCACTGAAGATTCATTGGGAAAACAGACCATGTAACCAGTTTGGAAGTAACTTTCTCTAATTGGCAGTGGAATTGAAATTTGAACAACTCGATTTTGATGTAAAAACTTTATACTTTTATAGTTGTCAAAGTATAACTTCCTAGCTGCCCACCAACTTGCGTGCTAAATACATGGAAGACTGAAGGAATCAGTATTGTTTGTAATTTGTGATGGTATAAGAAAAAGCTCAGTGTGCAGTTCAGGTAATTCTGTGTTGCTGCAGGAAGTGATGTTCTGGATCAGAACACAGAAGAAAGCATTGACCACATTGCTGTGGTAGCACTCAACGTTCTCTTCTTTGTCATCCTGTTTGTGTTTGCTGTCTTTGAAACGTAAGTTTGTCTATTTTCTCTCAAAATATTCAGACATGTAGAGTAATTAGAGTGGGGGTGCATGTAAGGGCTTTTCTGTTCCACTCATCTTCCTAACTTCCTAAGTAGAAGTCCAAAATCACAGGCAATCAAGCTGATGTGCACTGATAGTGTATCAAAGGTCAGTAGTAACTAAAGTAATGAATTAAAGGTCAGCAATAACTAAAGAGATGTAGTTTGTGGTACAGAAAACATTTAATGTAGAAGCTTTTGAATGGAGGCAAATCCATATTCTCAACTTTTTAAGTATTAAAAAAAAAGCTTAACTTGGGCTGCCTAAAATCTTCAGAGAAAACATGTTTCAGTTGAGTACCTTGTTGTTTATTTTTTGTTTTAATTTTGTGTGACTTCTTAGTATGATTCTGATTATCTCCAAAAGCTTCAGTGCATCTTTTATTTCTGTAATGATTAAAACAATTGGTAGAGTTAGTACAGCTGTATTCTGAAATACACTGTTTTATATGACTGGGGTTTTTTTAGCTTAAAAGAGGTATGTTATTTACTCCCAAATTTTCTGTCTGTAAGAAACAAAGTAAAACACAGCATCATTATCATTATCAGGCTCAAGTGTACTTAATTTTTTTAACTTAGGAAATACTTTGAGGATATATGATTTACTCTGCGAGTGTTTTGAGCTCTAATGTAGTTAAAATTTATTTTACAATATGGCTCTGTCATGAGTTGCATTATTTTTAAAAAAACTGAGGTTTTAGAGGCTGGTTAGTTGCTAAAACTTAAACATTATCAAAAGTTTATTATTTTTGTTCTCACAGGGTCTGATTTTTTTTGTGTGTCTATTGGCTTTCACTCCATCATCGTTTCATGAGCTATCAGAAATAGATTAATAATGCTTCAGAGTATGGCTGGTGTAGTGCATTGATGTTTGGGATGATACATGTATGGACACTAAAACATGGAAGAAGCTTTTTATGATTACTGTATTTTTGTTCTGTCATTCCAGTATAGCTACTCCACTGACAATGGATATGTATTCCTGGACCAGGAAAGAAGCTGTTTTTTATAATGGGATAATCCTTAGTGTGATTGGCATTGAATCAGTTATTGTTTTCATGGTGGTTAAAACACTATCAAAAAAGTAAGTTTTTGGGATTTTGTTTCTTATGTTGGCTAAATGTGAAAAACTTTATGGCAAGGACAAATCCCTTACTCAAGTCTTTTACTTGGTAACGAGTCTGGGTTTGCTATGATAATGAAATACTTCCAATTTTGGCACAGCCTTGATGTTGTGGTTGTTCTTTATTCTGTTAACATAACCCCCTCGTATTTGACTGGTTTTTACCCTTGAATCACAAGAAATGCTGGTTTTAAGTTACTGTGATTTTGTAACTTTTCTTGCCAGTGTTTTGGTCAGATATCATTTCCACAAACTAATGGGCTATGTCATTAGCAGCTACCTAAATTTTACAGTACTTAAATTACACATTTAACTGCAATTTCATTGTTTGGTAGGACTGGTGAGCGTGCCATACTCCATGCAGGCTTACTGATAGTCTTGGTTGGATTCTTTGTCTTACTGCCTTGGGGGAAGAAACTACCAAATATCCAGTGGCAAGGTATAGTTCAAGTCTTACTAGATCACTTCTTTAGGAAGCCTTTCATTGCACTTTTGTTCTTAATGATATGAATAACTTATTTTTACAGAAATAAAGAACAACTCCATTCCCAGAACAGCCCCCAGTGAAATGTTAGCGCCTTTCTGGAGTTTGCCAGAGCTGCAGCTGCCATCCAACCACACAGCAGAACCCGTGGGCTGCCCTGTCACACAGTCCTGGTGCCTGAACACTCCCATGATCTACCTGGCCCAGTACATCAGCTCTGATGTGCTCATAGGCTTGGGCTATCCTGTTTGTAATGTCATGTCCTACACTTTATACTCAAAAGTCCTAGGACCAAAGCCTCAGGTAAGCACCATCCCTAAATGATTTATTTCATTTGCTGTGCAAATTCTTTATTAGAATGAGGGGGTCTAGTTAAAATTCCTTTAGTCATCAGCCAAATAACAGTGTGTTATAAGCAGGGCAGAACTTTGCAGGAGCTCCAATCTTTTTCAAAATCCAAGGCCAGTCTCTTGGGGAATTAGAAAGCAAGGCTTATGCTTTTTATGCAAATCTCACAACGTGAGAATTTAATGACTGTTCTGGCAGAGTTCTTTTTGTAGCTACCAATTACATATTTGGAGTACCAGCATGGAATAATGTCTCTTACTAAGTTTATTATATAAAGACTACAAATGCTACTAGACCTGCAATATGGGCAATTTTTAGTGGTGAAACAGTATAGCCAATTTACATTATTAACAAAAAATTTTCTTCCCCTTTTGCCCATTTTTTTTCCTGTTATATTTTGGTGAAAGGGACTTAATGCTTTGAGCCAGAACACAGCCAGAACTTGTTTTTTGTTAGAAAGCAGTAGAGTACCTATGAGTGGAGCCTTGGAATTAAAGCTAGGAGAGGCTGAGCAGTACTCTTGGAAACAAAAGTAATCAGTGTCTTAATGAGTTAAGAAAGATAAGTGGTTGTTTAAATACTTCTAAATTTTCTAGTTAGTCTAATGGGTTGGAATTAATGCCAAGCTAAATAATGCCTGTATCACTTACATAAGCTTTTGATCTGCTGTAGGGTGTCTACATGGGATGGTTGACTGCCTCTGGAAGTGGAGCACGGATCCTTGGGCCTGTTTTTGTGAGCCAAATCTACACTCACCTGGGCCCACGCTGGGCATTCAGCTTGATCTGTGGAGTAGTTGTAGCCTCTCTCTTACTCTTGGAGATAGTATACAAGAGACTAATTGCATTTTCTGTCAGATATGGGAGGATGCAGGAAGAGAATTGTTAAAAACATATTTAAAACAAACCCAAACAGTTACACCAAGCAGAATACTTAGTTTATTACTGCTTTTGGAGTACCTAACCACTGACCTTGTTGGATGTGTGCTAACTGTACACCTGTACTTACACGTTGACAGAACATTTAACTTGGTCATACCCCAATACCTGGTTACCCCTGCTGCAGTTGGCTTCTGTGTCCTGCTTTTCTAGCAGACAGGAAGGAATGTGATGGGTCAGAGTGAAACCGTGGCACATTTGAAGTGTGTACAGTTTGTATTACGTACATGTGCACTGAGTGCAGCTGTGAAGGTCACAGGTTATGTGCATCCTTTCCAGAAAGAAGTAAAAGAAATATTATCTTGATTCTGTGAATCAGGATTAGTAACTCTTTTGTAACCTCAAGATTAGTTGAGCTGCATGCACTTTGTATGGAGACACCACTGCTTGAGCAAACCTTCTGATGTTGGGTTTGTTGGCTCGTAAGCACTGGTTAATACAAACCACCTGGTTCTGGAACCTGTTACCTCTCCTCCAGGATTCCAAATTACAGGTGACAGAAACAGAGGAAGGTAGGTGCCCTCCACACAGGTAGTTGATGTGGGATTTGGGTCTTTAAGTTGATCAAGAGCCATTGAAAATCAGTTTCAGCACCTGTTACTTGAACTACAAGGAACCAAATGTGCAATTTTTCCTCTACTGTTTTGCTGAATGCCTTTTTGTAGCAAGAAGGATAACCTGCAGCATTGAAATATGCACAGCTTTTCTTGACTACAAGAAAAAAAGTCTAAGCACAATAGTTGACACTTTTGTGCTTGGTGGGAATGAATGCACTGTGCCAAGCAGCGGTGGTTAGTTAAGTGAAAGGAGAAAACTGGCTCCTGGGTGTTCACTATTAACTGCAGACTTCTATTTCTTCTGATATTAGGGTACAAGAAACAGGAATTTACACTGTTGTAGTCATTCAGGCTTTGTTTAAAAAAGTGAGACTCTAATCTTCCTTCATAATGGGGCCTAAGCTCATCTGTACGGGTACGTTTAGCTGTTTTAATGCTACTGGGGAAAAAAAATCTCTGGAGTAACTCCAATTTGAGAGTTGTGGCTGCTGTCTAATGTCTCTACTATTTGAATTTAATAAATGTGATTATTATTCCTATGTATTCAATTGTTCAAACACTAAGAGACTACTGAATTAAAAGATGATTTTTTTCAATACTGACTGAAGGGGATACAGAAGTTTTATTCTCATGGGCTTTCCTGCTACAGAATCACAAAATGTTGTGAAAAAGGACTTCACTTTTTTAAGTTAATTCATGGTAAGTGCTGCTTGTATATTGTTGTTGATGTTGCTAGTGCTAAATTCTTTATTTGCAAGCTATTTCCTTGATTTGGACATGACAAAGCAACCAAAGGTCTGTCTTTTAAACAGCAGCTGAACAAGGAGAACTGGCTTGAATCAGTTCAGCTGAGCTGTGCTTGGGCACAGCCAGCACCAGCTCCTCTGAAACTCTTCATCCTCCCACCTCCAAGATAATTTTGGATCCCACTCCACTTAAGATCTGTTCCTGCCTGCTAAGGAAGTCTTAGACTATTTAAGTACAGATACGAGCACCATCAGGAGTGTTAGCACACTTTAAACGAAATGCTTCGAAGAAAAGCTACTGTTAATGCTACTTCAGTTGCTGTAAGTATTACTCAATGTGTAAAACAAGGTAAAACCACCTAAAGTTATTAACTCTTCTCCTTTAACCATTACTTGACCATGAAACAAATAAATAGGTCCAGACAATTACCACTGCATTTATTTTTTTTTGTATAACATGCTTGTGCAGGGAAGTTTTAAGCTGCTGCTACAAAAAAATAAAAACAGACTTATAAAACATATACATATTTACATATATTACTTGTAAGACATAAAAATATAAGTTATTTACAAATACAAATACTTGAACAGCATAGATGCATTTTCCTTGATTGTTGACACTGAGTAAGCAGTGGAGTAAGAAAAAAAATACAACAGATTCAGATTATTTCCAAAGACTTAACACAGTCAAGAATTAAGTTTCTCAAAGTTTGGCTTGAATGAGTTTATCCATCACTTTAATGAAAAGTATGTTTTGTATGAGACTTCACACACAATTTGCTACATATAAAGAGAGTAACCCTCCCCTTCCTCGCTTATTACCAGATTTTGGAAGAATCTCTGCATGAGCTAAGTAAGATCAGTCACTTTACTGTGAAGTCAGTGAGTGAGTTTATTAAGCTCTTGTGCTATGACACCCGGTTTCCTTTAGTCAGTGAGGACCAGCTGGATTGGTAAACATGACAAGAATAGAAGACAGACAGTGCAGCTTCTCTTTGATGTATTCTGGCAACTTGTCATCTTCTCCATACCTAGAGTGGCAAAGCAGCATAGAAAAACTGAGATGCTTAAATAATTTGTTTTGTTTTATTTCATTACAGTATAGTTATTCAAAACACTACTTTCCTCAACCTCCCTGTTTTTAATACTACACATGAATAGTGGCTGTACTCTGGAGACCAAGTAGATGCATTCCCAGCTTATTTTAGTCATTTGTTATCCAGATGACAAATGAATATTTATTTGTATCAGTTGGCTATGTGTGCTTCTCTTTATTTAATAAGCTTACATAAGCTAACCAACTGTGAAGTGATGGCAATGCTAAGGTTTAAAATTTACAAACCAAAGTCAGTTAGCAGCTATTAAGTTACCTGATGTACAAGAGCCTTGTATTGAGTTACCTGGATGTTTTTATGGCAGGAACAGACTCACCTGGTTGTCTGGCCATCTGGAGAAGTGTAAGTGATGGAGGAGACACCTGCTTGGGCTACCAGCTGGGATCCATCATTGAACTGAACCCATACTGCTCCACTGGTCAGCTGATGAGAGAAGTTACATTGTGGTTTGAGCAGATGAAATACAAAATTACAAACCTAGAACTCTTCTAATAATGGAAGCTGAAAGCTTTTCAAAACTGCTGAAGGGACTTAGGTATTTTGGTCAGTCTTTTAAAGATAAAGATTGCATGGATATTAATTTGGAGGAAGTAGTCTCATGCTGACTTCCTCAGGTTTCCGATGCTTGGCTTTAGTTATCCTTGTCAATGTCAGATAAATAAACAAGTACCTTTAGCTCAACCGCTCCTAAAGAAATCTTATGAATGGCCAAACTCAAAAGAGGCCAATTTGTGAGAGTTCACAGGTATGCACAATTTAAACTTTATATAAATAAAGAGAACTTTTTCTGTTAGGACAGGAAGCTTACTTTATCTGGATAGCCAAGAACAATGTTTTAAACCTAAAGCTTATCCAACAGAAAAGCAGAGGGAAGATGGCTTTGCAAGGAAACAGCTTTTCCTGCTGTAGAGGAAGATACATTTCTCTTGCACAGATCTGGTACGTAGCTATTAAAAACTTTGTCATGACACCTTTGCATCTATGTTAGTGAACAGAGAAGTTAAACAGTTTCAGTTTTTTACTAGAGTCAAATTTAAATGACAAAGGACACTGAAACAGGCAGTAATAGCCACAGGAAAACTGTGGTAACTGAGATACTGAACTATTATTTAGGTTTCTCTGGCTTATGTAGTTCACTATGGTTTTTATCTAAGACACTTATTTAAAAGTATCTTTCTGCATACAAATTCTAGATTAAGCTGTAGTGCACAACTGAATGATTCCTCACAAATCAAGTTTAAAGTTAATGACTTAAAAATACATATCTCAAATTAGTAGGAAAAAGAATAGACATGCCTCCTTTATTATTTTCTTACCTGAGAAGCCCAACCAACATTTTTCACAAAAACAGATTTGACGAGTTGGGCTGAATTTGGACTGCATTCCGTTTGATGAACAGAGGAGCAGGTCTTTTCAACAGTGTTAGTCAGAAACGTAGGCTTTTCAAAGGGCACCACCTAAAACCCAGAGATGCACAGAATTAACAGCCTTGGCATAAATGCTCCTGATGAGCTGCAGTGGTCAGCTGCCACCTGTTCATGTATACAGACAGATTTAGCCTCTATGCTTAATTTCACAGCATTACAGTATAAAAACCCCACAGGGACACAACTTTTTGTTGTCAGTTCAGTCTGGTGGAAATGGTCAGATTCTGTACTAGGCATACAAACTACACAATCAGATGCAGATCCCACAAATGTAGATTGATGTACATTCAATAAAGCTCACAATACAAACTCAGTGTGCCAAGACCCCAGTACAATTCAGTCAGCTGAGGAAGTTTTATGAGGAACCAAAGCTTGGTGGTCCTTTTAAACAAACCAGATGAAATTGCTCACAAAGCCTTATTGGCTACACATATATTCTTGCTTACCCTTTTCTTTTATGCACACTAACACTTGATTATTTCAGAACAACAAGTGCCAATACCCTTTTTGACACCATTTGTTACACAGCACCAAGGGCACATCAGAGCTCTCAAACTGAAGACTGTGCTGTCTAATACAAGTAAGCAATTTTCAAACTTTGCTCCCAGGAGGCATTTGTGGTAAAGTTTTGGAGTGTTCTGATTTTTCACATGCTCTTAAATCCAGGTATCAAAAAAGTCAGTTGAAATCAAAGCTAGTATTTCTAGTCAGTATGCTCACAAATGGCTAATGAAAGCCTATGGCCATAAAAATGTAATTCCATTAATTTAAGTAAAACAGCAATATGGGAGACTGGTCTCCATGGTGCATCCTTCTGTACTTACAGGAGCACAGTTTGGAGTCTGAACTGGAGCAGAACTGGCAGCTTGATTTCTATCCAATGCCACAGCTTCTTTTGAATAGTTTGTCTTGTCCAACAGTGGAGGTGCTACAGCCTGTGGTGATTCAGTATTACCAGGTTTTCTGGAAAAATAATGACAAAAACAGAGAAAAGGTCTGTCCAAAAGAGATTAAAGAAACAAGTGAGGAGACACAGCTCTTCATTCATTTTACCATGGACTGTCCAAAGCACCTGATGGCAGGAGTCTTCTACAGAACTGTTTTTCAGTTCAAATACATAAATATGCTATAAATATTCAATAAATACATAACTATTCAAATACAACAGTACTTTGAACTGAAAGATATTACCTTCCAACAATTATTGGAAAAAATGGAGCACTTCCAGTCCTTTTCTCTTCTTCCAAGACCGCACATTCCAGTGCAAGGCATATACGATGTCCCTGAAACGAGAAGTTCATTAAAGTTTTAAATTGAGAATTGTATAACTATTTCATACATGTTTAGTGTGGCAAGTGAGCCCACACAAGGGAATTTCAACAGTACTGAATTTTTCAAGTTGTATGAAGCCACTTCATTTGTTGTGTTTAATCCTTTCACCAGACAGGCAAACCGGCTTTACACACTCAGTCTTGCTTGTGAGGGATTGTAACCATTACCTCTACTCTCATATTTACTCCACCAGGAACATCACCCTCCCTCCTTAACAGTGTAATGAGAAACATAGAAAGCAACACAGGAAGCACATTTGTGAAAGGGAAGCTGAATTTTCAGGAAGTTGCTTGGAAAAGGTCTGTGTAAAACACCTTACCTCATTTGCATGATCCATATAAGCCTGGATTTCCTTCTTCAACCCTGCTTCGCTTTCTCCTTTCACAGTGAAGGATTTCCCTGACTTTTCAATCACACGAGTTATACCAGCTGTCTTATGGATCTTTGTTCCTGCAAGAAAATGTGAACACTTTCACTGTGAGCTGTAGAAAATAACAGTTAAACCATGGAAAGAAGAGCCCATTAATAAAACCAAAGCATAATTCAAATAACACTTTAATAACATGTACTTCCTGAGGAAGATATCAGTAAGGACTTAAAGAATCAACTAATCTACAAGTGCTAAAATAAAGGCAGGGTGTCCGAAAACCTGCTCATAGTGCACTATTTTCTTCAAACTGGAGTGGTGGTTGTTTAGTGTTAGGTAATATTTTAGTGCAGCCCTAAAATCATTATTTAGCTATTTGCATAACTGCAAAAATGAATACATACCATCATAAAAACAAATTTCAACATCTGCAGGGGGTGAATTTTCCATCAACATGCACTTGGCATATCGTGTATAAAACGTCACTTTAGGGGTTTTTGTTCTCACCAACTGCACAAACTTAGCTGCATACTGGTATTTTTTCCAGTACTTTTCTAAAAAAAGAAAAGAAAAAAAAATAGAATTTAGCAGATTAAACACTGCGCACCAGCTTGAAGAGAAGTAATTTAAATTATGTATTTGATAGCTGAAAGTTGTGAATAGTATTGAAGTACTTGACAGACATGTTTAGAGAAACTGACTTATTTCCACCAACAGCTCCCAGTATGAATGAGGAAAAGATTACAAGAGTTTTAATTTTAGTACACTACATTGTAAAGGGGAGACTCCTTAAAGCTTCCATATAAAAGGAATCAAAACCTGTGGGTTACACTTCCTTCTGAAGTTTCAAAACATTTTCCAGTTAAACTGTAGTTTGAATCTAATTCTGAAAGGAGTTTTACTTCAGAGTTTTCTGAAAAGTAATAGGTAAAAGCTATAAAGTTGCAAGATTCACTTAAAATATCACATTAATCATCATAATTTTCAAGTAAATTTCAGGTTACCTGGCAAGTTGTCAAAATTATATGTGCAGATGCTTTCAGGAGGAGGAGGAGGTCTGTCATCAAGAAGGAAACCTCTTCCTTCATTTGGATGATAAACTGCAATCTACAAAAAGGGAATAAAAATTGTGTGTAGTTGCAACTTGCTACAGCACTCTGCACTTTTAACAGGTATGGAAATAACTCATATTTTAATTAATTACTATGCCTTACCATGAAAACTCTATTCCTCTGAATAATTATTTAACAGCAGTTCTTTTTCACCAATACTTCACCTATTCCAAAAGTCAAGTCCAATTTTTTCTCTGAAATAATTGCTTGCTCCTTGTATTTATATGGCTTTATTATGGAGGGACTGAGTTTACAGCTGTGCATATATAAACAGTGAATTTCAAAAGAAATAATCACTTAAAAAGAAAAAAACAGCTCTGAATGAACTCCAAGCACTTCATAAAACAGTGAAGAAATCAAAAATGTACTCACCACATTTCCATCACAAGATATTCTGAGAACTTCTTTCACAAGTTCCTGCGAGCGGTGTTCTTTCAGAAACTCCATACACACTTCCCCAGTATCTAGAATGCTCACCTAAAATATATTAAACATGAATTTACTTTCTGCAAAAGGTAAGATACCACTTTTTTCCCCCCCCACAAATGCTTTAATAAACGCTTTTCTTTTTCCTTAAATGCACGTCAAACAGATAAATGCTTCTACAGTAACTTTTGTTATTAGTTCTATTTTTTTTAAAAGCAGAGCACTTCAAGATGATTGAAGGGTATCAGCCTGGTAACTGAGGGTGAGGCTTCTTAAAAGCAAACACAGACAGGTCTGGTCTATTGTGCTTTAAGTATTGTCTATACAAAAGCTAAGATGCATCTTATTGCTATTATTTTAAATTATTCTAGATTAAGTTTCTTAAAAATATATATTTCTATTTTACCAAGTGATTTTTAAGAGACATATTAAGCACTTCAGTTGTTCTCATTTTCAGAACTGTTACTTACCACTGCATTTTTGGTTTTTTGCCTGATGGGTTTCAGCCTGTGAGCAGTGAGAGGTGACACAACACTTCGCAGTGTAGGTTTCTGATGTGCTGATGGTTCTTGGCCACAAGTTTGGTTTTGCTCTGGAGTTGACCAAAGGCCACATGTCATTCTGGAGTTCAGCCAGAGGCCAGGCTGAATTGTCTCATTTTTGCAGACAACTCCAGGGATGCATTGCTTTGGGTTTCTCTGGTTTAAAGAATGTGGACAGTCACCAGATGCACCGTGATGCCTTATGTCTTTTAAGGTGTTCCATGCATTCCTCGGTGCATCCTGCTGCGCATCCAGATGGTACCGAAAACCTCCATGTGCGTTACTCTTGCCAGTCAGGTCTGCAGGTGGTCCCAGAGGATCTGAAAGCACCACAAAGGGACATTGCAGATTCAAAGAGTCATTGCCAGAAGGAAAAAATTCTAGTATATTTAAAAGCTTTTAAATAATTTTAAAAGCTTTTAAATATAAGATAGATATAAGCTTTAAAAGATATATAGCATATATCTAGATAAGCTTATATAAATAAGCTTTATAGCTTATATAGATATAAGCTTTAAAAGCTTATTCTATGTATATTTGAAAGCTTTTCAAGGGATTGTCTTTGAAGGCTTATTTAAGGGAAGAATGGGATTTCTTTAATTCTCAGTCCAAACCATCAGGCCTTGTAGTACCATCAGTACCAACGCTAGCAAAATTCCAGTGCTACTTTAAGCTGTTCCTGCATTTCAGTTATGATGGTCTTCAGTTTTCATATATAAAATAATTTAAAAGAATAATTTATAAACAAAATACTAGGACTTCAGATAGATTCTTACACAAGAATTGGTTTAGTCTGTTGAAAATCAGCTTATGTACCATTCAGATAACCACTACTAGCAAATTTCATATAAGTTGCAGTTTATCTAACTAGTGTTTTACCATCTACCAGAGGTCTTAGTACGCAAAATGTTAAATGCATACTCCAACTCCCTTGTTTTATTTTTAAAATCCTTGTATTTATTTCTTCTAAACACCTGTTTTTATATTTAACTTTCCTATAACTCCTTCCCTGGTTTTGATATTTAAGCCCTTGATCAACTTTCACCTCACCCACATCACTATTATGCTCCTTCTGCTGTGTGGCTGAACAGTTGAGAAGGGACCAAAAATTAAATAGGATTATTCAGACCATATGTTCTCTGATTCCAGTTTCCTGTACATAGGAAGGGAAGGAGTCCAGTAATATCAAACCAAAAAGGGCCAGAATGGATTTATGGTTTATTCTTATGATTAAATTACTTTATTTGCAAATGATGTAATATGATGCACAACAAAGAACACCTCCTTCCCTTCTGTGTCTTTGTCCTCTCCTCCACCCATCCTTCTGCTGCCTTATTATCTTTCTCATTCATTGAGGTCCCATCTTCTCTTATTTAGTTGCAATTGCACAACTAAATTAACAGGGCTTTCAAGTCACTTGCTAGTATTTTGTCATATATTTATTCTGACATATTTACACAACTGAGTAATTATGTCAGGGTCTAAAATTCTGGTTTCCTCTTTGTTTTGGGTTGGTTTGTTGTTTTTTTTTTTTTTTTGCTACAATAGTAGTAGAAAATAACAAGCTTGTTTTAGGAAACTATGTATTCAAATTCAGTGTACAAAGAAATAAAAGGAGAATAGAGAATCCCACTGAAACTGTTACTTGACGGCAAAAATACAGAAGTGATGAGTAACACACCATTTGTTTGCATGCTTCCAAGCCACTGCTGCATTGTCTCAGCCTGGGACTTCTGCTCTAACAAACCAACCTGGGGCTTCACTGGGCACAGATAATTTGAGCTACAAAAGAAAAGTTACACACAATCAAGTTTGCATCAAAGACACTTGCACAACAAAAGTTAAAATGTTACAACTGCAGAAAGCACAACACTTAGAACATTTAGGAAATGCAGGTGGCATTTTGTAGCTCTAGGCAGCATATAAAGCGCTTCTTTTAATTTTATTTTCAAATAAAATAGTTTTTCAAATACGATAAAATGAAAACTTATGATAATGCTGCCAGCAGTAGCTGTTCTTACATCTAGCTCTTAATTCACAGCCTTGAAGAAGACCTAGTGATGACATGACACCCTTGAGCCCCGTGTATCTCACTCAGCATAACATGCAGCTGAAAGATGCCAATCCTACCACCCAAAATAATTTGAATTTATATAAAATACAGTCAAACCCAAAAATTAAAAATATTTTTTAACCGATGTTTTATATAATCACATATATGTAGCCACAGGTGATATAATCCATGCGTTGAAGTATAAAGAATGCACACAAAAGCAGTTACTGCAGAGTCACTGATCTGTTGTAAATTCACACTAAGCTCCTGTGAGGTTTTTTATCTCCATAGCCTGAACCTGTCTGCACTTTCTTGTAGTGAAGATGACTACTTCACCATTGGCTCACTTATCACCAAAACCACCCCAAAACCACAGAATATAAACCATCTAATTCAAGTCTTAGGACTTGCATTTAAGATTGCTGTGCAAGCTCACTACAGGTGTAAGAGGCTTTCCTATAATCAACAACACAAAAAAAGTTGCAACCATTAAGTTAATCCCCACACTCACATTAATATCCTCTGATGTTTACATTCAGCATGGCTTTGTGAAGTCATGGGGAACACAAGTAAGCATTACAATAACATTTGTATAAATTTTTCATTTATCAAACATTTCTTCTCAAACTACAAAGAATGCACAAGAATGAACTTTGCTTATGTCAAACACCTGAGAACAGTAAAGAAAATCTTACTCCATTTACTTTTTTTATAGTTTCTTGTTTGTCTTTTCCTTGAAGAGAAAACATAGGAAATTATGTCAGTTCTTAATGTGGCAAGAAATGCAGGAACTAAGATATGGAAGTCCTTATATTAAAACAGAAAATCATTCTTTTGATATTCTGCTTGTGGAAAGTCTATAGAAAAGGAGCCAGAATTTTCACAAAGAAGTTACAAATAAGTACAGGACTCAATTTCAGATAATTATCTACAATTGACACTTTCCTTCTGGCACACCATCTTTATAATATATTCCCTAATCTTTATTGAATTTTTGTTTTATCCTCTCTAAGCATAAGAAAAAATCACCTCAAGAGATCAGCAAGTAAAAATGTTGATAATTGCACTTTGAATGCCTTCTCCCCTCATCTGTCTCTTCTACAAAGAACAATTAGCAAGGCTCTCTACTACAATTAATGTGGGGGAAAAATAATCAACTTGCTGCAGGTGGAAAGAAGACAATAAAGGAGCTCATAATTTCATCTGAATAAAAAACTGATTCTTACTGTGGTTGATCTTTTTCAGGTGGAGATATCTGCTCTTCAAAAGAACCAGAAGTACTACAGGTCTTCGCCTTAAATATTTCTCCTATATCAGTATAGCTGTTAGCAGGTGAAAAGTATTCTGTGTTTTCCCTCGTTCCTATTTTAGGCTTGGAAAGCACTTCCAAGGAGTGACATCGATCCATGACGTTGGATATGCCTTGAGTCTGGCTGTGGGATGTGCCAGACCTGTCTGAGGAGTGGGCTCTTCGGAGGTAGCGGGAATGTGGCCTCTCCTCAGCAGGCTGCGTGGTTCTTCCCCTGCCACTTACTCCAATTTCCTTTCCCTGAATTCCCCACTGTCGGAAAGAACCACTTTCGTCTCCCGATGAATTATTACTGCAATTCTTGTTTGTAGGAAAAAAAGTAATTTTGTTTGGGAGGGGCTGTCCAACTAACAGCTTCTTCTTTTCCTTCAAGCTACCACTGGTACTGATGCTGGAAGAGCCCATGAAGGTGGTAGAGATGGTGGCATTTCCACTGTCCATGGAATCTTCTGAGGTTCCCAGATCTCTGCTCCGTGCAGAGCTCCCCCTGGACATAAAGGGATGATCCAAGACCGAGGAAAGGCTCAAGCGATCCGCGGGGTTTTTGCGCAGTAACCTGTGAATGAGGTCCTGTGCCTCTCTCGACAAGAAGGCCGGCATTTCATAATCTGCCAGCACCACTTTGTTCAGCGTGTTCCTGACCGTGTCCGTGTCGAAAGGCGGCTTGCCAATGAGCAGAGTGTAAAACATACAGCCCAGAGACCACACGTCGGACTCCAGCCCGTGCGGGCTCCTCGTGGCTATCTCCGGAGAAATGTAATTGGGAGTTCCACACATGGTGTAATGCTTCTCATGAGGCATCTTCAGCTGAGTCGCCAATCCAAAATCAGCAATCTTGACGTTCATGTTGCTGGTGAGTAAGATGTTGGAGAGGGTGAGGTCCCGGTGCAGTATTCCGTGGGAATGGAGGTACAGCATACCCGTGATAATCTGGTGCAGGAAGTGTCGCGCTGTCAAAACAAAACCAGGTGTTGCTATGAAGAAATCCTAGCTCTGAGGATAACTCAGCTTTAAGTCTGCTATTTGTCTTGCTTCTATGTTTTCTTACAAGGCTGTTTAGGTGTCATAGTAGTGAAACTGGAATTAACTTTCTGCTTTCTACTTTAAGAAAAATGGCACAACTTTGCTCTTTATGTAGCACAGGAAATAGGAATGGAAATATTTTCAACTGGCCCAAACTTTCTCAAATTGCGTTCTTAAGAATTAAAGCTAAGTTGCTCATCACTTTTGGAAACAGATACAAGTTAAACTAAAGATGCCGTTATAGCCATACCCCATTAATCCAGTCCTGTGGCCCGAGTCCCAAAAAATTCCCACTATAGCAGAATCATGCAATTAAATTAGAAACTGATAGAGAAGCAGGTAAGCTGGAAGAACTGAGCGAGAGGTGAGCAGTGAGGTGAGTCTGGAAGCAGTAAAGGCAGAAGTTGCCAGTTTTCCTGTTCTTCTTCTTTCCTCTTCCCAGTCTTGACCCACATTTCAAGAGAATTTTAAATACAAAGGTAAGCTCTACTTTCTATCTGTCTCTGCCTTCTAAGATCACCATCTTTTTATATTCCAAATAGCACAAACAGAAACATATGTATATAGAAATGCAAGTGAATATATGCACAATAATAATCAACATCTAGATTATCACTTACCACAAGATTTTAAGGTATAGAAATTATGATGGCAGCTTTAAATACTCTTCCTCTACAATTAAATATTTATTGAGTGAGCCAAAACATTAATGCAAAGGGCTCCACAGACCAAAAAAATCTCACCTTCATCTTCTGAAAAGGGTTTCTTTCTGTTCTTTATATATCTGCTCATTTCGCCATTGTGACATATCTCTAGTATCAAGTACACGTAGTTGCTATCTTCAAAATAGTTATAAAGCTGGGAAAAAAAAAACAAGGAAAAAATTAAATTCCATTTTGTAGACCATACAGTAAGTCACATATACAGTCCTCTCTACAAACCCCATGGTTCTTACCTCGAGTATAGACGGATGCTTTAGCTGACAATGTATTTTCACCTCATTCTGAACTCTCTGTACCATTCCAACTTTGTGCATGGCTTTTTTGTCTATCTGTAAGTGGATCACAGCATAACATAAGATATTCAGTGCATGTTTGCTTAACAATTTTTAAGTACAAGCAAGTTTTCATATAGTTCACCTTAATATACTCTTTTAATGAACAAGTATAATAGATAATTGGAGGAACACCACAACTGAAAGCAGTCAAGCATTAACATTTTCAATACTAATACTTATTAATATTTTTTCTGAAATACTTAGCAGAGAAACCTAAAACTCATTTTGCTACACATATACGCTAAATATAGTCAACATTAAGAAGCATTTCTATTAGTTACTAAGTCTATTTGGTTGTGGTGCATCTTTCAGGATCGAGTCGCAATCTTAATGTCCGTTATTTACAAACATTCAACCCAAACATCGGTGCCCAACTGCAGAACCCCAACCTGTTGCGACTTTGCATTCGGTCTCTAGGGAGACAGATACTTCCTTGGCCGGCTGCCTTACCATTTTGATGGCCACTTCCAGGCCGGTTTTCAGTGATACTGCTCTGTAGACCCCCGCGAAGGAGCCCTTCCCCAGGAGGTTCCCCACCTTGAAATCCTGCAAGACGAACAAACCGGCCTCGTTAGCCTGGGGCTTTGTCAGTCAGGCTTCGCAGCGCCTCTCCCGACGCGGACCCTCCCACCAGCGGCGGGGAGCCCACGCAGCCCCGAGATCCGGGCAAACCCCGAGGCGGCCCGGGGCTACCTGTGGGGAGCTCTCCGGGGCGCGGCGGCGGGGCCCGGCAGGGCCGCACAGCCACCCCCGCCGCATCCTCCTGCCGGCACCGCACTGGCGCTGCCGCTGCCCGGGGCGGCGCGGCCGGGCCGCCTTCCCGCCGCCTCTCCCGCCTCGGCTCCCGGGACGCGGGACACACCCGCCCCCGGCTGCCATGGCAGCGGCCGCGGAGCCGCCGCTCCCCGCAAACACGTGGGCACGGGGCGAAGGCGCGGGAGGAATCGCGCTCCCACCAATACCCGCCGGCAGCGGGACGAGCCCGCGCCCGGCCCCTCCGCGCCCCGCGGCGGGAGGGGCTGCGCGCCGCACCTCTATCCTCTCGCCGATGCAGGTCGCCATGGCGCCGGCCGTTCTCCCTCGGGTCCCGCTACCGGTCGTGCCGAGAGCCTGGGGCGCGGTTAACCCATTAGGGCGCCCCGGGCCGCCCGCCCCGGCGCAGCCCCGCTGGCTCCCGGGCCCGGGGGCGGCCGCTCCGCGCCCCCCCCACCGACATTTTGAAAAGTCGCGCCGTTACCCCTCGGCCCCGCCCCGTCCCGGGACGAGGCTGCGTCTGACGCAAGCGCGTCACGCAACGGCGCGCGCACGCGCGCAGCCCCCGCGGCCGGGCTGGGACGAGGAGGAGCCGCGGCGCGTGCGCGGGGCGGGGCGTGCCGGGCAGCCGTTAGGGCGCGTGCGCCTTGAGGGGGGCGCGTGGCGCCTTTGCCCGGGATATGTCTGGATGGGGCAGTCGTGGGATGTTGGGGGCTTATCCTGGAGCTCGTCTGGTCACAGCGCCCGCTGCCAGGGGTAGGGACACACCTCGTAGATCAGGTTACCCCACCTGGCTTGGGATTGGAGTTGGTTTGGGCTGAGGGAAAGATTTTTATTTTGATAGGTTTCTGTTTGTTCAGCCTGCCCTCTGAATTATCCCACCTCACACGCATCTTGCTGGCTCCTTCTGTAGCGGGGGAATGCTGCCGAAGTCATTTTCGCTAGGGCAGGCATCCAGGATGCAAGGAGGAGACGGAGTGACTTAGCGCTTCAGCTTCTCCAGTGTTTGCCAGCTTGTGGCTGTAAACTCAAACAGTTTCCCCACGACTTGCCAGATTTTATTGTTGAAATAAAATACAGGGGTGCCTTGTGATCAAGCTGCGCTTTCTCCTTCATGCATTCCTTAATGGGTGTTAAATGGATTGTGGATAAGCGTTTGTGTCAATCACTGAGAATCCTTACAGGGAAACCAGGAGCTGTGTGAATTAACAGTCATCGCTGGCTTGAGTAACTAGGGTGGAAGATTATAAAAAAGAGACTTTTAATTTAATTTCAAGGCTAGATTTTTTTTTACCTGAAGAATGATGAAGGTGCATCTCCGCCAGTGAAATGATGCTTTCCTCTCTCGTTGAAAAGGAACTTGAACCACTCTTCTGTTGCTGGGTTGCATTTATGACTGCAGGGGTCAGCATCTCCTGCGAGCAGAGCTTGTGAGACGAACCAACCATGTAACAAATCCTTTGTTAACATTTTTATCAGAGAGCACGGATACCCAATCTTGTTCTCAAGGCTTAAGCATTGAAAGAAATGCTATCATAAAGTCTTCTTTAAGGAGTTTTAAGAGAGTAATAGGACTCCCTTAAAATAGGGAGTGCAGGCCTTTCTTCAACTTTATTGCAGGACCAAAATGTAAAGATTTTGGGCATACTTCATCAAGTGGCAGTCTGATTACCAACAAAAGTAAAAAGGAGCTGAGTAGGAAGGATGATAAGAAGCAAAAGGCAGCATAAAGTTACATTTTACAAATTGTAATGCATCATCATTGGTTGCTCTGCAGCTTTGCTTGCATCTTGGCCGCAAGGTTCATGGCGCTGGTAGTTTCACTTGTTTCCCATAGTATATTTCTTTCTTATTGCTGCTTTTCACAGACACAGGGCAGCTTTCTCAGATGTATCTGGTAGTGCCAGTCTAGACAACAGAAGTCGAATCTTGGAAACATCGCTGCTGTGCCTTGGTAGACGATGAATTGTGAGCAGTAATGATCACTCAGTCCTGGCTTCTGTTTGACCACTAGGACCTAAAAAAATAGTTAACACATCAAACATCTTTGCTTTGATATGTTAACTTTCTATTCTAAATAATCAAATAAATGGTGCCTTGCCTTCCCCAGCATCTGCTCAAGACATGGCTGTGACAGAGCGTGTGTTTCAGTGGCGCTGGGGCAGCACAGCAGGATGAGCACCCAGCAGTCCTCCGAGCCTGCTGGGGTGTGTCAGCAACGTGAGAGACTCAGTGCAGTTGTTGCCAACTCCTCATGTCAAGAGCAATTTGTTTTTTAAAATTGGACTTTGTAGTTGTACAGTCACGAAACTTCAGTGGGGTATTTTCATGCCTAAGACCACTGTTTTAACACACATGTTTTGTTTTCCTATTTATCATGACTGCCCTCTGAAAGAGGAGCCTGTTCCAGGTGCTGTTATAAATTGTTTACTTCCATATTCTTCATTCTGGATGGTAATGCTGGAAAACTTAGGGAAGGAGTGGTTTACCCAAACCAAAATTGAATCAAATCCAGGTTATTTTTGCGGTGGGTTTATTGTGTGTTTTTGTTAATTTACTTTATTAAGGGAAAGTATGTGATTATAGAGACTTGGCTGCTTCTGCCTCTTTTTCACTAAATTGAATTCCGTGTTTCTACAAAGAATATACAATTTTATCAAATGAGAATTTGCTTTGATTTTGTGCCCACCCACAGAAATGCTCTTGGAGCTCACCTTTCAGCTTTGCTTTCAGAGATGAGAAACCCTGCTCTTGTCATTTAGAATCACCTATCTGATAAAAACTTGAGTGGTGAAAAGCAAAATTTCTGTCAGTAACAATTAATTTCCAGGCACTTGTTTCAGTCTGGTATTTCAGCAGTTTGATAATGAATTTTGAAACATACTTGCTGGATGTTCCCTGTTTACAGTGGTCTGCAGTCTTCGTACCCTGCTTCTTAAGTTAAAGGTAGTAATGTCATAATTGCCATAAGTACATCTTACAGGTGAACAGAAAAAGGGGTTTCCACTCACATACTTTATCTTAAAAGGCACTGGGCCAAAATTTGTGAGAAGAAAACCTCTCTGTCTTGATTATGCTGAAGCTTGGAGTAAAACTCATTTTAAAAACTCATATAAAACTCATTGGCTCTGACTGTGCTCCATTAGGAGTGTATGGTCTATTCCTTATGCATTATCCACACCTTCACTGTCTGTAAATTTATTTTGAGCTCTAAGTTACAATCTAGCCAAATAATTTAGTGTTCTTCTATGACTCAGAAGATAACATGGGAAAAAAAAACCAAGCAAAAAAAAATGCTTATGCAAGGCACATTCCACCTCAGACTTAATCTGAGCTGAATTCAGCCTGGAAAAATGAGAAGACTGCAGCAACAATTTATTGCCAATGCATTTTACTCAAGTCTTCAGTGTACTATTTCTCTCTCTTTCCATCTTGAGCATCACAATATCAGGAGGTGATGCTGGTCTCCAGTTTATCCTCAGGTGGAATTTTACCTGTTTGTCTCCTGCTCTGTAAACCTTTTCTCCTGTGTTTCTTTGCCTTTTCTCTTGGCAGCTGAGTGCTATGGTCGCTGGAAATGCAGCCCTGCAGACAGGCATTGGGTGAAGTGTGCACTCAGTGTGGTTTGGTGTCTGATGATTTGCTGGTCTGCTGGTTTTATCCTTGCCCAATGCCAGCATTGTTTCCACCTTCCTAAGAGTTTATTTAGGTGTTGGCTGGAGTTTTCCTTGATGAGTGTTCAATTGCCAGCAGTGGGTGTAGCTGCCAGTGTTGACAGCTAGTCTTACTTGCAAAGGTGGACTGCTCCTTTAGGCACAATTCCTTTGTTAATGGTGTTTCCAAGCCATATTAAACTATGCAACAGTCATGAGAGCAATTACTGTCTTATACTTTAATCCTTTTTCTAATTAGCATTTGTTCTTATATATATTTTCAGAACAGTGCTAAGGGATTAGCACTTACCTGTACACTGAGCTCACTGAGAGCACATGAATTTTGTCTGTATTCCACAGAATGCAAAAAGACCTCTGAATGAAAAACAACTGGAGTTTGAACTATATTGCCTCCATACAGGAAGACACAGTGAGGAACAGTTTTTATATTAAATAAATGGAGCATTCATATCTCAACAGTCTTTTAGAGTTTAAAAGCCCACATCTTACTGAGTACAGATCTTCTTTTAAGACATCCTGGGTAAAAAGATTGAGTTAATCTGCCTTGGTAGAACTGTTTATTCCTTCTGCTGTCAGAAGAGAATGACTGGATTTACTCTCTGCTTCTGCTTCACACAAGCAGCAAAGGAGGAGTCACATGCAGCACAGTATGAGGTGTATTTATTTGTATTGTGAAAATATAGGATTATTCACTCAGCCATCAGGCATTGCCCTGTGTCACATGAAGCACAGAAGCTTTGTTGTGGCAGTGAACAAGCTGAAGTGACCATTGCTGTATTCCTGGGATCCCAAACGACCTGTGACATTCATGTAGCTCCTGGGCCATAACAACCTCAGCTTCCTCTTCCTCTAAAACAAGAGGAGCTTAGGAAAAGAGGATAACATTTCAGTCAGTTTTAGCAATAGAACCAATCACTAACTAAATGAATGTGGTTATTTCCCATCATCTTGGCTGAAAATAAATTTGAAGTGCCTGCTTAGACCATGTAACTCCTCTGAAGCAGTCATAGCGCAGCATTTTCCAAGGACAGAGACTGTTGTGGACTATTTTCAGCTCTAAACATAAGCAGCTGTAGTTCCATTGAAATTGGAGAAGTTGTATAGCTTTGTACAAAGGTGCAATTTGATTCCTAGGTTGGGATTTAAATTTTTCCAAAGCGGGGATGTTATATTTCTTCTGTGACATTTGCAGCTCAATAGAACAGCCTTGCTCATATTGAATAGGAAGGAAAATCAGAATAATGGGGTTTATTCCCCCAGTGAAATTCACATTTGGTTGATTTGTTTGTTTGTTTTTTCCTGCATGCTCCATTCTCAGAAGTACTTTGAGTTAATTGCTTCACATCTGTGTCACTTCCATTACAACCATGTGTGCCTGGTTTTACTGGAGCCAGGGGCTGGGCCTGTGTTTGAGGATTAAGTAGCCTGTGCTGAGCTCTGTGCTGCTGTGACTGCAGCAGCACCCAAACAAGGCGGTTTCAAACTGCCAGGGGTATATTTGCAATGTGCCTGAAGTTTGGAGGTACGGGAAGCAGTGTGTTCAAAGCTTAGCTTTGAAACTCCTTTCTTAACCAAAAGCATATGCTCAGCTTTAATTGTTGAGCTCTTAGCTCCTCCCTGATATTCTCTCCTACCAGGGAGACCAGACTGGTTTCCTGGAGAATTTTCCATGGCATGTTTTTTGCTTGAGTCTGACTAACAGTAGCATAGCTAGAGTGCAGTACAGTTTCTGTTTTCACCAGGTTTTGGTTGATTTTTTTTTTTTTTAAACTTTCTCCACTTCAGATTCCTCATGTGTCTGCTCAAGAGAATGACATTTCTCTCTTCAGCATGCTCAGAGGAAACATGAATTCAGATGGCAGAATCTTTGTGTTGAGACAGGCTGGGAGCTGAACAAATATCTTGAGACCTGGATCACTTTTGATGCTTTGCCTCATGCAGGAAAGGGCTGCAGCTCTCATCTGTCAGTATGATGGCGAGTTCTCCAGAGGGAACATGTTCCAGACAGAAAAAAATAACTGAATACTTCTTCATCCTGGAACTGACTATGCCACTGCTGTGCTGATCAAGAAAAAAGATGTGGAAAAAAATTCTTTCCTCACCTCCCCTACTTCTTTGGTAGTGAAATTCAATTTCTTTCAGAGAAGGAATTTTTTATTTAAATCTGTATCTTTAAGAAACAAGTCAGACTTGTTAGCCATGTGATTTAGTTTACTCATCTGTAAAACTGACAACATGTTTCATCCTTGGCTGAAGGGAAGTCATTTATAACATAAGTGAAGAAAAAAAAGTTTGTTGAAAGAACGATTGTTTCTGAGGAGCTGGTTATTAAATATAATCTGTTTTAAGTAAAATCCTTGGTGTGGCAGAAGGCTTTGTTGCACTGACTAACACACTTTTATGGACGTTCCAACTTTGAAGCCTCCTATGAAGTTACTGGCCTTAAGCCTGTGCTACAGGAATATTGTGTTGCTTGTGTTAGTGCTGTCAAAGACAGGTGGTGATTTTGTTTTTACTGATTGTGTTGGACTATAATGGCAGCATTTGGTAGCCCAGTGGGACTTTACCATTTCTGCCAGGATAAGGTTTTCCCCCCGAGATCTTTTGTCTGTCCTAGTGAAGTTAGAGAATTTGTAACTGTGTGGTACAGTCGAGCCTGTCTCTGTGGATACCGAGGGTGAGCTTAGTCAGTGATTTAGCACCAGAGCCAGGCTGACATCATGCCTGTGTTATGGAAACAATGAGGTCGTTGGAATGATTTGCTAATTTGGCTGATGCCTCTGTTGTAGGTGTCTGTATTTGTTGCTGTATGGAACACAGCCCCAGATTGTGCCCTGTTCCTGAGCAAGGACATGAACCACTCTGCAGGTTTTTCCAGATGCCTTTTCTGTGATTTTTTTGATTGTATTGCACTTGTTAGCACTAATTGATATTTCTAATAGAGAAAACTTTTCCAAGTCAAATTCCGTGAGAAAGGGCTCAGTATTTGAGCCCTGTTTATTAAGAAGACCTAGCTTGGTCTGGAATTATCATTAAATCCATCGCACAGTCTGCACATTTTCCATCTCCATTCTCTATGCTAAAATCACCATAGAAGGGTATTTTGTCCTGCTTTGATATTGTAGACAAGGCAGTGCAGGCCGATGATGGAGTAGGTGGGAAATATTTATTGCAACAGGAGCATTTGAAAGATGTGAAAAGGGTAAGTAAAATGGGAAAGGTTATTTTTGGCTGAGAAAGGAAACTTCTTAAGCCACATCTTCTTGTAGTATTGTCAAGACAAATGCTTCATGTTTTGTTTTGTCATTTTATTTTCCAGGAGTAGTTCTGCTGGTTGCTGCCGTGCTCCACAGGAGGAACTCAAAGCTCTGGCTAGGATTTTTTTGCAGGTGTGTTGCCTTCCTGGTGGTGTTGGCTCCTTTCCTGGGAATGTAGCATGTTTTTCCCCTGCAGTAGATATTTTGTGACTTGAATGAATCATTTAATTTCACTGTCCTTCAGAGGCATAATTAGTAACTCACATTTACTTTTGCCTGTTCAATTCTTATAAAATGCTCATTTTTATTCCTGGAATGTTCTCTCCTGTGAGGATAAGGCTCTTTTCTGAAGAAATTTGCAAGTAAAATGCTCTTGACCAGTAGTCTTTAAACGTTGTGTTTGCTGTGGAAGGTGTCATTTTCTTCTTTGTAATTGTAAATGCTTCAGCACCACTGAAAATCTAATTAACCTTATAAAAGGAAGAGCACACTGATATTTGCAGGGAGAATGAAGAATGTAGGACAGAGTTAAGCTGAGAAAGTAAAGGATAATATTTAGTTGCAGCCATGGTAATGATCACGGGGACACTCTTGTTTCAGAAGCTCTGTGACACACACAGTCCCTGTGAATAAATTGCTTTTATTCTACATGCAGCTCATTTCTCCCTGAAACAGCGTTAGGATATTGCATTTCAGAGAAGCTGGTTTTCAGGCAAAATTTGAAATCTAGGGCCTCACAATGTACTTCAGCATTTTGATGGAAACACTATTGGCCTTACATTGTGGCTGTGTTTTTAATTCCTTCAGAGTTTTAGCTGGCTACCTTCAGCTGACAGATGACCCAAGGGAATGGCTTGAAGCTGTGTCAGGAGAGGGTTAGGTTGGATAATAGGAAAAAGTTCTTCACCCAGAGGGTGTCTGGGCACTGAACAAGCTCCCCATGGAAGTGGTCACAGCACCAAGCCTGACAGAGTTCAAGAGGCATTTGGACAATGCTCTAGGTGGGAATGCTGAGGTGTCCTGTTCAGGGCGAGGAGTTGGACTTGGATGATCCTTGTGGGTCCCTTTCAACTCAGGATGTTCTGTGATTCTTTGAACATTCACCTTATTTTGCTATAACAGTCCTTTTGCTGTGTGACAAAATGGGATACAACATCCTTGCAGAGCTGGTAAATATTGGAGTTTGAAGGAGCTGATTGAGTGGTCTGAGATGCTGAGACAGCAGAGGAGATTAAGGGCAGTACTTTCCCCTGTACTGATAAGGGGATGTTGATTTCTAGTGTACGTTTTTACATTTGTACTACATATGTGTATGTATATGTAAATATCTACAGTTCTTTAAATAGGAAGGATCTTTCCCCACCCCAAAATTCCAAACCTGGCCTGTGAAATTAATATAGCTGAAATACTTTATTGAGATCTAAGAATGCCAAGCCTGGATGAATTGCAGACTTTGAGGAGCTTTGAAAGTGTACCAAGGAAGATGGATATAAAAATGTTGAATCATGTTGTTTTGGTGCTTTGTGTCAATTATGCAGAATTCTACAGTCATTGCATCCTGGTGGAGAACGCAGGGATTCCTGTTACACCGCTAGCACATAGAAAAATTCCTGGAGGAATGCCACAGGTTGCTGCTCTGCATCTGCTCAGAGAATCAACTGTGCCCAAAGCCATCAATTTCCCCCAGCAGTTCAAGGCACAGGAAAACAACCTGGCACTTGTATGTTGCAGTAAGTCATTCATGAAAGATGAATTACTGAGAACTTGGGAATTTGTGTTCATCCTAACACAGACATGTGATGGCAGCTGTGAAAATAACTGCAGTTCCCCGGAGGCAAAGCAGTGCTATGTTTGTGCTGCAGCAGCCTGGGCCAGGGAACGGTGAGAGAAACCACAGTGGGACAGGTGAGGCACCAAAAATGCCTTTATCTTACCTGTGGCCTTTTGGACAAACTCCAGTTGTATCAACCCACAGCATCAGACAAAGCTGCTTTTAAGAACACTGATGCAAAAATGAGGTCTTGGGTGATCGTTTCTGGTTCAAGTAGCGGTTTATATATTTATTATAATTATACACAACCTTGACAATCCGTATTGCCATTCAAAAATAAATCCAAGTCTTGTCAATTTGCACATGATCTGTCAGTACTAAGGATCCCATTTACATACATGGTAAACATTTTCCATACTTAAACACCGCTTTAAATTCTGACGCTCCCATCTCCTCCCCCCTCATCCCCTGGAGTTATGGTTATCGACTATGGAAAGAAGCTTTTCCAACCACTGCAACGTTCAGGGACTACCATCTTTTTTTTATCAACTTAATTAAACAATTTCAACACTTGGTAGAGGTGGCTGGTGGGTATAACTTAATTGCATTTTTAAAATTATTCTTGATGGATTTCATTGCAATGATTCCTGGTTTTCATTGCATGACACATTTCCTTCTGACCAGGAAAGAAGGAAACCAAAGTTTAGCAGCTGTATCAAGTAAGTCACATCAAGCACATTCCTGGTTTAGTATTTTGCAGTGCCAAAAGTCACATTTAGTTGTTTTCACTGTTATTTACATGTGTAGTAAGTGGTTGAAGTCTTCAAATTTCAACTGCAGAAAATTAAGAATTCAGCTAGGTGTCAGCCACCACACACTTTCTGTAGCTACTAGGAGCTTGTGTTCATAGTCCAACTGCTATCTTGGGAGCTGAAATTATAATTTATGAGGCATTAACGCCTTTTGTTAAGCAACATGTTTTTTACCACCTCTTTTGAGAGTTTCTGTCTCCTGGTGCCTGAAAGATGAGAAAACCTAAGAGTAGCAGAAGTGTAAGAGGCAAAAGAATATTCCTCCATCCAGTTAATAAACTCACAGCTAGTGGCAATTAATATAATAATCCTTAGAGCAGGCAGACCTTCTACCAGCCCACAACTCAAGTTTGGGCATCTGAGCGTCACTTGAGAAGGGCTCCCAGAAGTGTGGAAGTATTACAGTGTGATTACACAGCAACGAGAAGTCCTATTTTAAGGAATGGGGTTCATGATGGCACTGATCTGTGGGAATTGAATTCAGCTTCTTTTCCTACAGCAGCTGGGCAGGTGCTTTGAACCAGCAAACGCAGCGTGTTTGCAACACAGCTTCGTGTTTTGGATGCTAGCACTGGTTAACTGACAGGCATGGAAAACCAGAGCTCTGACAAGTGTAGATTCCAAGTTTTGTTAAGGCTGTTAATTTTTCACACTGGTGTCAAAAAATAATTGGGAAGAAAACCCTTCTGCCAGCTCCTTGCTTGTTTCCTGAAATTACATTTAAACAATCCTTACAGGAAAACCCCCACTTAAATATGGAGTATTTGAGAACTGTTATTAGCAATCTGTAGGAGAGATTGGAGTTCAGCACACAGAGATGTTGCAAAATATTAAGGAATTTTAAATGTTGAAGATACAAAGAAATCTCATCAACACACAGATTGGATGCTTTACCTTAACAGCTTCCACTTGTAGGTGGAAGAAGCAAAACCTCCATCCCTCACACCACAAGGTGTCCAGAACGCTGGAGCTACATTGCAGATACTGCACGGCCCCTCCTGTGCTGCCGTGCCAGAGACAGGGCACCTTCCCCCTCGCTCTGCCCTGGGGCCTTGGCAGGGAATACAGGTTGTGGAATACAGGTTGGGTGTTTCCCAACTGCCTCTGAGCATTCAGGATCAGCTGCTCGCTGCTCTGCAAGCATGCCCCAAAGGCAGCACTTAAACAGTGCAAGGACACTGCCAGAAGCCAGCAAGGGAGAGGAGTCTTCGTTCAAACTGAGACATTCAAAATCAAATCTTCCATTCAAAATCAAAGGGTATTTTGTAATGAAGCAGCAGCTTCAAGAAAGAAGAGCATAAAATCCTAACATGAGTGTTACAAATCTGCTTATGTTACATTTGAAGTTCAATGAAACTTCTCGGAGTCTAAAGTACTGTAATTAAAAAAAGTGGAAAGGAACTTATGAATCAGTTCTAAACTAAACTCAGTTTAGTAAAGAAAATTAAAACAAATTAATTTTGAAGTCCTTTCTTGAACAAGTCCATTAATGCTCCAGACAGAAGAGAATGAGTCTTCTTTAAAGGGAACAAGGAAGATCTTGCTGGTTTCTAACTAGATCTTTACATCAAGCTTCAGAATCTGATTTACAGAACTTTTTTTAAACGATCTCTACTGCCTTTACAAATATAGTATTGCTTCCTTTTTTTCTTTTTGTGGGACAGAGGGTATATTTTCAAATATCAGAAATGTAACTTGCCCTAAGCAGAAAGTTTCAAGTAAGACATTATCAACCTGCTGTTGTAATATACAAGAGCAGCAGACTGCTGCTGGTTCCCTACCAAAACTTTATGTTGCAAAGACACTCACTCTGGTGCTGTCAGGATAGGCATTGGGAACTTGCTCACTGAGTCTGACACACAAAACCTCAAGCTGAGCATAGTGTCTAAGTACTTAAATCTGTCCTGGTAAAATCTCCTCTTTGTAACAGGAAACAGATTACATATGAGCAAATCATGTATTAATGTGAACCTCTGTGGAAAGATTAACTCTGCCATCCCAAATGGCATGCCTAACATGGACCTCAGAGTTAGTTTCTGTGGGCAGCATTCCTCTTCAGCAGGGATCTAGAGACAGACCAGATGCACAGCAGAAAACTCCCTACTCCAGTAAGAAAACTTGACTAGAGCTGTTTGTCGGAACCATATCTGCTTTTAAGCGTGCAGAATTATTCTAGCCTTTATCCTAAGCACTGTGTCAAACATTTGTGATGTAGTATAAACATCTGATGTCCATAAGCAGAGGACACTGTTCTTGCACATGACCCTTTAGCTACTGGAGAGCTGACACTGGAGATTTCTGCAGTTTTGTGCTCTTCTGCCACAGGTACCAAGAAGTCTACCTAGAGAAATTATTGTGTAGCTGGATTTCAGAAAGCCAGTACTTGAGAATGCTGCTCATTACACTGCTGTGGTAAAAGCCATTAGGATATAAATGGTGTTGAAGCCTACAAGACCCAAGCTAGCCCAGCCTGACTGAAAGGACAGCTGATGCTGCAGTACAGTCCCCCTCAGCACCAGAGGTGTGACTACCGTGGCAGAACTAGAGACTGAGGTTGCAGAGGAGCTGCTGAACAGCTCTCCTCAAAGTCACTCAGTTTTTGTTCAAGGTTATTAAACATGTGAACTTACAGTGTCAGACCATCCACACTGACTGCATGTAAGAGGAACAAGAACAAAGTACATGCATCTCAGTCACCTGATGGCAATCATGAAGATAGAATTCCAGCACTTGAACTAGACTGGCAGATAGATTTATCTACAATCATGAATGTTGCTTCCTTTTTCTGTGAAGGTATGGGAGAGTTGAATTCACTTCTCCCAGAGGTCATGAGTTACTTTTCGTAGCATGAACAGTGGTAGAAGATGAAGGGCACAGCTGCAGATAAAATGGATGCCAAAGCCAGAAACAAGATTGTGGTTCTTCACTTGTTTACAACAGCAATACATCCTACGGGAGAACTGCTGTAGGAGAGCCTGGTTAACATATGAATTTTTTTCTGGGACAGAGTTCAAGTTACTGAAGCATTACACTGCAACTTATTTTCTTATGCTAGGTAAAGAAACCACTTTTGATAGTTAAGACTAGCCCATTCCCACTCTGGTAACAATAGAGTTTTGAAGTCAATAGTGACTGGCTTTAGCAAGTGCTGCAGCACCTCAGTGACTGACAGAAGCATTTGGAATATATTTGGGACATGGACTGGACCTTGACAACGTTTAAGACATATCAAAGGAAACAGTGATTCTACTGTGTAACACATTGTAGACATTTTCATTAGAGAGCTAAATGACCACAGCTAAGTGGTAAGCTATGCAAGTTCATCAGGTAGATTCCTCCTTTGGGGTAATAATGTCCAGTTTTTAAGCTCTTTTGTTTTGGTCCTTGACCAAAAAATTTACGTGCTGAGCATCAAGGCTTAAATAAGCTCTCAGCATTCATTTCTTTCAAGTTTGGACCAAACAGCATTTAGGCCACCTCAAAATCAGGGTGGTGATACCCAGTTTGCACAGCACTGTTTCTGTTGTTCCTCCTCCCCAGGATGAGACACAATCAGATGTAAACTGAACTCAAAACGAACTGTTAATAGTTCCATGTGCAATAAGACATTTTCAAGGGAAAGCTACGCAGTAGGCCTTGAGTGTTCTTCCCTCTCATCCTGTTCTCACCAGCATCACCCTGTCCCAAGCACAGCAGGGTATGTACAGCAATGTGCAGAGACCAGGGATTCCAGCACACAGCAGAGCCATGGTGCTGGAGCAGTTTGCACAGTTTGCAGTGAAGACTGGTAGTGGTATGGGAACCCAAAAGATGCTTAAGCTCGGATGATTCAGTTCCTATGAAAAAGACCGTACAATTCTCATGGTACATCAACAAGATGGACTGGTATGCCAACTAACCTCTATTTTAATATTTAAATTATAACAATACAATAACTAGAAAAGGTCAGTGCTTCAAGTGACAGGTTTTGCCACTTCAATTCCAATATTTTTCCAAAATAAAGATGCGATTAGATCTACACTTGAGCATCAGTAGTGCAATACAGTATCCTTTCCTGAATAAAGGAGCTGAGGTTTATCCACAATAAAAGCTTTAAATAAGGTAGATTGTTGCCATTTATATATCAATTCTGTATGTTTGATATAAAATATATTGGGAAAGCTTCAACTGACTTATACAATCTACATTTGGCTAAAGCTCCACATAAGCAGCATCAGTGGAAATGAACATCAGAGGTGTACTTAATATAAAACACTTTCAAAACTACTCAGCAACAAATGACAGAAGTTTGGCTAAGAATAACTGAACATCTGAGGTGTGTACCAGACAAAAAGAATGGACCCTGTGGTTACTTGCACTATTTTAATGAAGTAAAAGAAATGCAAGGTTTAGTCCACTTCCATTTCTCCAGGGGGTTTGGTCTGCTGAGGGTTGTCCTTGGCTGGTTCGGGTTTGGTGTCAGCAGCGCTCTGTCCGTTCACCGGCCCGTTGTGCTCCCCGTTAGCTTTGGCCTGCCCGTCACTGGGAGGTTCTATCTTCGGCTTGGGCTTGGACAGAATGGGATTACAGAAGCTATCCAATTCCTAGTTGTGACACAAGTGAGACAGCAAGGTCATTTGGTGGCGCAGCAACTGCACTCAACTACAATGCCTCTAATTTGCTTCTGGTCCCTAATGGCCTGGAATGTCATTGTCAAGGACCACACTTCTCTATTCTGTCAAGTCTAGAAGCTTCCAAAAAAGCCTCTCAGGAGGCTGAGGAGCTTCTGATTTGCTACAAACCTGTATGTGACAGCCAATTCTGTAGAAACCTGGTGCTGTAACTCAGGATATTTTAAAAAGGCTCGTACTGTAAATCAGGAGCCAGCACTGAAGAGTGCTGTAACTGCTGCCCCCCTGTATAGATCTTTTAATAGCTTTAAAATCTCTGCAGATGTATAATTCTAGCTCAGATCTAGGCTAAAATCTGGTTCAGGAAAAACTGATTAGAATGCAACAAGTACAATTATTTTTTTACCTTAGATTTTGCTAGTATTTCTGCCACTTTGACAACTGGATCCTGAGTTAGACTGAGTTTGTTCTGGGCATTCATTTTGCTGTTCAACCAATTCATAGCCTCATTAATGTATTTTTCAACTTTCTCCATCTCAGCAGGATCTAGGTGGTCATATTTTTCATCCTAAGGGGAGAGAGAGGTATTTGTATCACCAATTAAAATATGCTGCTCACCCAATTAAGTTAATTTTCAAAGTTACAGAAACACCAATACCAGCTGTAAGTTCAGAGATCCATCTCAAGTGGTACCAGTATAAAAACACATAAATCTCTGATTTATGTTCTCATGAAGCAGCTCTTTCTGCTAGCAATGCTGAACAAGTTCAAAGCTCTCAGGAGCAGAAGTACAACAGCCTTTCCAAAGCAGTCCAAGAGGTAACTTTACAGGATTTGTGTAAACACAAAAGACTCTACAGCCAAACTCAAAACACCTGCAATCACTGAATGGTTAAAGCATTTGGCTTTACCTTATTTTTGTATGCTTCTACTGCTTTCATAAGAAGCTGAATCTTCTTCCCCAGTTCATTTAGCACTTTCGGTCTCTCTTCATGTTCCATGCATCTTTCCTGGATGGGCTGTCCAAATTTCTGGAATAATAAACACAAAGATCTTTACAAACACGTATTTCCTTTAGTCTGCTCTAAGAATACAATGCAGCATGGGAAGGAAGGCCGCCTTTAACTCCTTTTTTCACCCTTTCAAAGAGTCAAGTCTTTGCATATTGCTTTACCCCAACAACAAAAAAAAGCAGAAATGTAAACACAAGGAGTAGTGGCTCCTTTCTAGGTTGGTATTTTGCTGTTTTTCGCAAAAAGAGCATTTGCAACAGTTAGGCTTTAATGGATGCTTTAATTTTTAAGAAGTTAATCTGAAAACATCTAATTTTATCCACTGTTTGCTTTTTCCTTCTCTTGAATACTGGTATCCAGGCAGTTGCCTGGATCTACACTGCTGTTTCCATTAGTTATTCCTCCCCTTGAGGAAATGTGACTGGAGAGTAAATAGCTGGAAGCCAAGGGCTAGACATGTTCATCAACTTCCAATGAAGTGGGTAGTTATTCATCAGAACTTCTATTTTCCCCATCAGATCCTTAAAATCTGAAGCATTTAGGGTGTGTTTGTCATCAATAATCAAATGATACAATGGAAGCTACTGTTAAAGCACTCCAGAGCCTTTCTTGTTGGATATTAGACCCAAAAATTGATCTTACTATACATCTAAAGAAGATCACTGACAACAGGAAAAAAAAGAATATATATTCTGGAATGTAATTCTCATTTCCCAGGAGTGCTGTCAAACTACTCAAAAGCCTCTTTCAGACTGCAAGTAGTCTGACAGAAAATTCCCAGAGCAATTAAATTTCTTGTCATTAGTGACAGTCTGCTTCATTTCAACCATCTTCAAATTAGGAACACAACTCACATTAAACTGTACTTCTAGTTCTAAATATGAGTGAGTTTTCCACAAAACAACTTAAAACCTTACCTTTAATTCCTGAAGCTTATCCATGTATACTTGTTTTGGCTGGTCCTCTCCATCCTCATAAAGCCAGTTTTCTGTGTCCTCCAACATCAAGGTCAGCTTGTTGGAGTCCTACAAAGCAAATTATGGACACTCCAAGTCAGAAAGGAACACATCAAATAAGACTTCTCTCCCTGGCACAAACCCACCCTACTCAAAAAAGGACTGCTTCATCAGCTTAAAATATTCCAAGTGAGAGTGAAGGAAAACAGTAATTAACAGACTTCAAAGCCAAGGTTTTACAGAGATGAGAGAGGCAGGACAACCCTACTCATGTGATTTGCAGGTGAAGTTTACCAGAGTTACAAAATCAGTCCTGAGGCTATTTAAGGCAGTCCATGCACCTCTGAAGAGTGTTCCATATTATCTGTTCATTTCCTTTTTACTCCTACCCACTCATGCCATTCAGAGGCTTGTGGTGATCTGTCCTACTTTCCTATGCTGACCATAGGGTTTTCACTCTGCCTGCATCCCTGACCCTTCCTTGCCACTGAGGAGCTTCTCAGGCAGTAAAGAACTCTGCAAGTCAAATGTCAGGCATAACTTGAGCTTCACTGCTGGGAAGTCAAGCCATCTCCTATTCCAAAACTAGTCCAAGAGACCCCTGCAGCCTCCACAGAACACATACTAAAAATTTATGAACACAAAAGAACTTTTCCCAACAGCTGAAATCTATCAGCAAGTCTTACTTCTTCAGTGATAAATTTCTCAAAGGCTCCACACAGCTTGTCTCTGAATTCATACACATATTCTTCAACAGCATTCTTAGCATCATTTCGTTCCTTCTCAAGCTTGTCTTGCATCATCATCTTCCCCTAGGGTGGAGAAAGGCACACTGAAAACTGAAAGCATTTTTAAGTGTTCAGCTTAGTGACTACTCTTCAAACTGTAGCAGAGAAGCTGGCAGAGGCCTGATAATTCACAATTACTGATAAAAATGTTCACCTCTGTGAAAGTCATCACTACAAGCACAATAGAATGGGTTAAGTTAGTCCAGAGAAATTGAGTCATTTCACCAAAAACCCAAACCACAACCAAAATCTGTTACAATTACGGCAATGTCCTAAAGAATTGTAACTTAGGTAAGCCAATGACTGCAGATATTTTTAAGATACTTATTTACAGAGACATTAATTTCAGGAGTCACTTCTTTATGCTGCTTACCTCATTTTCTATATAGGAATTGATCAGATCTTGTCCCAGCTGCCTACAGAGGCTTGCCTGTATAGGGAGATCAATACTCTTAACTTTTGTTTTAGCCTTGGGCTGGGAGGGATGATCTTGCTTTTCTCCAGAAGTAGCCTATGAAAAGAGTGACACTAGTCAGAAACTTCCAGGAATCGAAATATTACTACCTTTATGCTCAAAAAAGAGAGACAAATTAAACTAGTTAAGACAGCTACAAATTCATGTTATGTAAATTAAGCGCCTAATTATTTCTCTGTATTCAAAATCACTATTACCTTAGTTTGGAACCAAACACGTGAAATGAATTTCTTTAAAGAACTGTTAAGTAAACTTGTTCAAAAGCTTAAAAGCATATTAT